TCAGAGGCATAGAAGCAGCTCCCAAGTTGTTCGGACACATTCTTTCTTCATCTGCCACTCTCCTCATTTAAAAGTAGCACTCCAAAGAACACACCATTATTTTCCTTAAGACAAAATTCAATTTAGAGTCTTAGGAAAAGGTCTTTGGCAAATTCTAATCTCTAGGCAAGAGCAGAGAACTAGGCATAGGCATTAAATGCTTGCTGAATAAATGAATGAACATTTTTTACTCTTGTGCTGCCATTGTGGATATGTGATAGAAACAGCATTTGGCATGGAAGAACACTACCAGGGAAAGAAGAAATGGCCTTCTCCTAACAAAATACTCTCATATTTCTCTCATATAGCAGCTACTACTCCATTATAGTAGCTGGAGGGTTGATGCCTTCTCCAAAGATTTTATAAAACACTGCTTCCTAAAGGGATCTACAAGGGATCCAGGGGAAAGGAGGGTATGATAGACAAAAATAAAGATGCACACATCTTAATCTGTAGGACATACACATACATTCTGTTATATGGAAAGAAGTAATTAAGGCTGCAGATGGAATTAAAATTACTAATCATCTGAACCTGAGATGGGGAGACTATAGTGGATTATCCCAGATGGGATTAATGTCCTCACAAAAATCTTTAAAGGAAAGGTGAGGTCAGAGAAGAGGTCGGAGTGGTGCCATGCGAGAAGAACTTAACCTGCTGTCGCTGGCTTTAAAGATGGAAGAAGGGCTCATGCCAAAGAGCGTGTCTAGCTTCTACAAGACAGAAAAGGTAAGGGATTAGATTACTTTCTAGATTCTCTGGAAAGGACTAGAGCCCTGATAGCACCTTGCCTTTCCCCAGTGAGACTTGTTTCTGCCTTTGACTTCCCAAACTTAATAAATTTGTATTGTTTCAAGCCAGAAAATTTCTGGTAATTTGTTATAGCAACACTATGAAATGGTGGGGAGAAAAGGGCTGAGAGGTAAGTAGGCCGGCCTTGTCATTATTACCCATGGGAGCTCAAGAAAGCTACTTTATCTCTCTGAGATATTCATCATTGTAATGGGTTCACATTATTAAATTTGTGACTACTTTTAAAAATCAATATATTATAAATAATTTATTTAGGATTTGCCAATAAACATTTAAAATTTTGAATTTATTTACTTACTATTTTCATAATGACTTTTTTATAAAAGAAGAGTACCAAGGTTTGAATATGGTCTGTGTGTCCCCCAAAGGTTCATGCACTGGTAGGTTGGTCCTACTGGTGTGGCAATGCGAGAAATGATGGGATTTTTAAGAAATGGAGCTTGGTGGCAGTTGGTTGGTTTGTTGGGAGTGCTGTCCTCAGAAACAATTAAGGTAGTTCTTGTAGGACCCTGAGTTAGTTCTTGTGAGAATAAGTTATAAAACAGCCCCTCCCTACTCTGGCTTCCTATCTCCTCATGTGATTTCTCCTTTTTGCATGTGCTCTTGCCATTGTGATGCCATCCACCATGAGATGACACAGCTAACAGGGCCCTCACCAGAGCCAGTGCCATGATCTTTGGACTTTCAGCTTCTAACACTGGGAGCTAATAAATCTATTTTGTTTTCAAGTTAGCTAGCTTCAGGCATTTGATTATAGTAATGGAAAATGTACTAAAACAGGTAGTTTACAGCAAAATCAAGAGATTTCTCATATACACCTTTACGCATTTATGGACACCCCTATTATCTCCCACTAAGTGGTACTTTTGATACAGTTGATGAAACTTTATGAACACATGTTATTACCCTAAGTCCATAGTTTATGTTAAGGTTCATCTTTGGTGTTGTACATGCTCAAATGTATAATGACCTATATTCACCATTGTAGTATCAGAGGACTACCATAAACATCTTTGCTCTGCCTAGTCATTCCTCACTCCTCCCTCCTAATCCTTGGCAACCACTGACCTTTTCACTGTTTCTATAGCTTTATCTTTTTCAGATTGTCATAAATAGTTGGTATCATATAATATGTAACTTTTCAGATTTGCTTATTTGACTCAGTAATATGCATTTAAACTTCCTCCATATCTTTTTATGGCTTGATAACTCATTTATTTCTAGTGCTGAATAATATTCCATTGTACCACAGTTCATCCATTCATTCATTTACTGATGGACATTTTGATGCTTCTAAGTTTTGGCAATTATAAATAAAGCTGGTTTAAACATCCATGTGCAGATTTTGTGTGAACATAAATCTCCAACTGCCTGGAATAAATAGGAAGGAGAGTAACTGCTAGTTCATGTAGTAAGAGTATATCTAGCTTTCTAAGAAATTATTAAACTGTCTTCTAAAGTCTGTACTTTATTGCATTCCCACCAGCAATGAATGGGAGCTACTATTGTTCCACATCCTCACCAGTATTTGATGCTGTCAGTGTTCTGGATTTTCACCATTCTAGGGTATAGTGGTTCATTGTCATAAGACTAATTTTGCTTTTGCTTATTTATTTATTTATGTACTTGGTGGCACTCGAGCACTGAGCCATACCCATAGCCTTATTTTATTTAGAGACAGGGTCTCCCTGAGTTGCGTAGCACCTTGCTTTTGCTGAGGTTAGCTTTGAACTTGGTGATCCTCCTGTCTCAGCCTCCTGAGCTGCCGGGATTACAGGCATGCATCATGGCTCCTGGCCTACTTTTGACATTATATGCACATTATATATCACATCTTTAAATTGCTCTATTCTGGGCTTGGCATATTACATCATTGCTGTCCCTTTCCTTTCTTTTCTTTTCCCCACCTCCATAGTACTAGGATTTAGTGTAAGCATCACAAAAGAAGAGGGAAATAAAATAAAATTGATGGCAAGTTTCCAGCCTAAAATATCTGGGATGGGGAATCCACACCACCCAGCATTGCTTGGGTCAAGAGGCACCAGCTCTGGTTCTATGGAAGCTTTCACGATGTGAGGGTGTGTAGGGCTCTGTCATTTGTATTTCAGAGATAGAGTGAAAAAGGAAGGAGGAGGAGTGTGGAGAACAGAAGAAACAAAACAGGGAGAGAGAAAAAAGGAAAGGAACACAAGGGGAGCCCTAAACTGGAAAAAAAATATGGGTGGGCTTTCCCCTTTGAGGGCAGTGTATCTCTATTCCAAAAGGAGGAAAGATTAAAAATAACCAGGTTGCTCATCTTTCTTTTTTGTCCTTTGTCCTGCATCACCCTGTATTAGAACATATTAATATACAACATTCATGAATTCATTGCAAGTACTGAGAAGGGTTGGGACACATATATTTCTGTCAAATTCTTAAGGTTATGTTGTACTTTGGAGAAATGCTTTCTTGAGAAGAGTAGCTGAAAACTAACTAGTTAAATGATATTAAATCTCTTGACCTTTCATTAATTATTCCTTTTTCTAAGGTGATGTAATATGCACATAAATTATGTACAGGGAAGATCTCTTCCACACAAAATAATGTCATGTCCTGTAGAACGATGCTCAAGATACTAGAGAAGTATATGTATAGTGGAAAATGCAAGCTTCTGAGTCTGAATGACAACTGGTTTCCTTTTCGATTTTGTAGCCAATGGCTGAAGATTTGAAAATGTAGTGGAATAATTTCAACATCCAAATTGCAATAAAAATTATGGTTAGGATTTGGATGTACATTGTGTTCAAAGAATATTTTATTAAATTTTGTGATATTGCACAACTTTGAATAGGACATTTTATGGCTAGAACAAATCTATTTTTATTAATACGTCAAATTTTTAGAAGTAAGTAGATTTTAAAAACCACGTTTTTCAGTTTATTAATAAATTATTTATGAGAAAAACACATAAAGAAACCTCACAAACTATTGTTCTTTTAAAGGAATAGTTATAAATTGCAAATGACTTGGTGTGTAATATATCCAGCTTCAAATTATAACAAGATCATTTCCCTGACTTCATTTTTCAAGCCAAGCTAAAATTGAGTTAAACATCATTTAAAGACATTAACTATTGAGATTTTTCAATGCTTTTAAAAGGAAAAAGCAAAGTCTTCTAAGTGACCATGACATGTTTAAGTAAATATTTTCCCCAAAGGTTCACTGTATAATTTAACTTGAGAAGATATGGATAAACACATAGACCTGCTGCAATATTTTAGGAAGTAATTTACCATTTCCTCTGATTTTGAAAAGCCCTTTAAATATACAAAATCTGCTGCAATTTCCCACAACACCGCTTTTTTCCAAAGGCTTCCCAGCTTGGATGACCAGAAGTGCTGGTAAGGCAGTCAGTCGATGGGCTCAGAAATCTCAGGGAAAAAAAATGGACAATTCACTGCATCTTTTCTCCATCTACCATTTGCTCTACTGACCCCCAAGTGACTTCACAACCAAGTTTACAGATCAAAAGACTTTTTCTATAAATACTCACAAACTTCTTCTATGCAGAGATTTTCCCAAATGTCAACATTTACTTAGTATAAAGAGCTTTAAGTTTGACCTGGTGGAGCAATCAGCAGGTTTATCTAACCCTGAAAAACAGCTCAAGTAACTGTTCTATGCAGGTACTCATCTTTCTCCCCTAAAGAGCTCTGCTGGCAGCAGTCAAAACCAAAGTGGGAACTTAATAAAAATGAAAATTGTGGTAGCAAAATATACTTACAAGGTTATTTTGACATATTGCAAAAATTTGGGAGGTTATAGTGGTTTCTATATAACCACAGTCCTGATTTAGAAAAACCCCAGAGAAGCAGCTGCATTTTGATATATAACCTGCTTTGCTTGTGGTAGGAATTTCAGCGTATACATTTTCTGATGTCAGAATTTGGACATAACATTGATAAAAACTGCATGCACCTCTTGTTGAGAAATATCAGGATGAGGAAACTTGAAGAATTTACACTTCTCTGTTAGGCAAACACACGGTTGCACCAAAGATTCTGTTGCTTATTTTTATACTAGAGAGTGGTGAAGGATAAGAAGTCAAGTCTGTTGTGCTGGACTCCTATGAAAATGGTTGTGTTCATACCACTTGATTCTCTGATTACCTGTGAATGTCTCCATTTCAGGCATTTGGTAGCAACTGGCTGAGGCAAACCTGGCAAAATATTTTCCAACTGCTGGAAGATTAACTCCTGCACATCCTCGATGCTATGCTCCAAGTATGTAACTCCAAAAGGGACAGTGGTGTGAATCACCAAGGAAGGCCCGATTTCTGATGACTCTGTAGTGTGAGAAGAACATAAAGATACACCTTAAAGTGGGTAATATGGGAGCATCTCTAGCAGTTCAATCCGGAGTTAAGAAATGATCATAATAACAGATAACAAATAAAGAAAAAATGAGAATCCAATCTATGAAGCATAAATTAGGCTATTTCTGAAATTCAAAATCAAGCTTCTCTGAAGATGACAACAGATTGAAGGTATGCTTTGGAGACCAACTGTCAGGTCTTGCTGAAGAACTAGAAGGAAGGTAGGAAGAACCCTTAATGTATATTATCTTGGGTACAGTTAATTTATTGGTATGTTTGACTCCCTCAACCATGATATTGCAAGCTCTTCAGGGCAGGTTCTAATTTTCTTTCTTTTCTTTTTCTCCTGCTCTCTTCCAGCCTCCTGAGTTGCTGGGATTATAGGCGTTGGCTACAGCTCCCAGCCAGGGACACTTTTTTATACATAGTCTATATTCTTAAATTCTGGGAACAAAGTGGATATTTAGTAAATACTTACTCATTTTATGTTAAATAGATTGCAAAATATTTTGCTGAAATTATACAAATTCTAGAACAAATATCTCTAGTGCCTTCAGAAAGAAAGCAAGCTTTTTCTAAAAACAGAATTGTCCTCACGATATCTTTATCTTTTAATAAGCAATATAAATAAAAGTGTGGTCCATTTACAATGGGAACTTCTTCCTATTTTTGTTTGCCATTGAATTTGTTTTTGTTACACTTTCATAATTGTAAGTAATGCGTGTCTGATTTATATCTTTCCCTCGTTAGTTGAACATAGGACAACTGAATAAAGTTTGAAGCCGAAAGCAACTTTGGACAAGTGAGGCATTAGGAAGAACAAGCTTGAAAAGAATGTTAACAAGTTTGTCTGTTATGGTTTGTTTAAATCATACAAAAGAGAAAGCTGGGGAAAAAAGACTAGATTAGATATACATGAAATATAATATGAAAGTTGGTGCTCTCCGTACTGAAAGAAGAGAATGTTAAAGTGGTTAAGACACTGACACTGTTGGCAAGATCTGAAAATTCTTTAATGTGGGATTCTAAAAGGTCATACCATTTAAACTATGTTTTTACAGTTTTACACAGGAAAAAAAAAAAAGGGCTAAAGGACATAAGCCACTTACTTGTTCTATGACCACTTACTCTCTTTACATTCCAAAAGGTTTTATTTTCTTTTTGTAAAATGAGAATAAGTTTATACCAACCACGGAGGTCTATGGTGTGGATTGAATAACACAGTGCACATGAAATGTTCAGCACTGTTTCTGGCACAGAGAAAGTACTCTATAAGTGTGAGTTATGGGAATGCAAGCAATAGACTCAATCTAAGGGCAGTGTTCCCGAGATGGTGTGCAAGTTATTGGTATGAGTTGTACTTCAATTCTCCATTGCACTCGGCTCAGGGAACTCTGACTTACATGATTTACAGCAAAAGGGAAGAAAGTCCCAAGTCAAAAGGCTTCAAGCCTTTTGAAGGGCAGCAAGTGCTTTTAAATAACTTCACATGTATGAATCTGATGATATGAATAAAGAATCTGTACAGTAAATGCCTGGTGAGACGGACTGTCCACTATTTTCACCTCAGTGTGGCTGGAACAACTCAAAGAAGAAACAGAGGAACCATCTCTTTGAACATTCAGTGTAAACCCATCAGTGTACTTTACTGGTGGCATGGAGAGGGAGGGACCCAACTGTGTAAAATCTCAAAATTTCAGAGAATACCAACACAGTGAGAAAGCCATTGCATATTGCCTCCGTGAATGTTTTTCATGGTATCAGTTAATAAGTTCAGGGAGGCTTGTTCACAATAAGAGGGTGTCAGTGTCATCCCTCTTCCATTGGTACCAAACCTTCCCAGAGACAGAAAATGCTACCTGGTCAATGTTCTGAAGCATTTGAACTAAGGTTCTGCTTGTTGTCTATGGCAAGTTTTAAAGAGATATGAATGCCAGCTGTGTGCTGAGAATCAAGAGGTCGCACTGACCCAACCATTTGTTCTAGGGGAACTCATAAAGTCACTAAATACCAGTGATGGGGCAAGGCCAAGTTTCTCCCATTTACATTAGCCATCTACTCCTTGGAGAGCAATAAAAAATGAAATTTAAGACTCTCAGTGAAACAGTTCTTGCATAACAATGAGAAAACAACCTGGTTTCTTGTTCTTGGAATTGGACAAAAAACTGTTTTTGAGATTATACATTAAAATTGAAATAGCTACAACCTAAAACAATCAGTATAAGGGAAAGTGTCCCCAACCCCCAAATTAAAGGGTATTTTTAGAAGTGAAAGTCAAAAACACAAAGAGTCAATCAGAGTTTAAACATGACCAAAGTTTGGAAATGGAGAATTATAAAAAAAACCTCAAATATGTTAATGAGATTTAGAGCATAAATTTAGTAGGATCATCATTCCTTGGTCACTGGAAAGCCAATGGCACCATCTTTCTTTTTGTTCAGTTAAGCAAGAAAAGCACTTTGGTCTTACAAATGCAAAGCTCACTGTAAGTTGACTATTAGTTCTACAGACATCAATGTCGGTAGAGTCAGAAGATACAAATTTGAACCCCTGCATTCTTAACAGCCTCATGGTCTTGAACTACTTCATCTCAGCCTTTACTTTCTTCCATCAATGAAAAAGAGAATCATACTCCTAACCTTATAAGGCTCTTATGAAGGGTAAATAGGTTAAGCCACATGAAAGCCTTTCTTCAAATATAAAGTGCTACATGAATGTAAGACATTCCTGTATAATATTCTTGTTTTGACTTCTAGGTTCTGACAAGGGTGACTTTTGAAAGGGGTAATGGGATTGAATCTCAAAAAGCATTTGATTATTATATCAACACCTCAGGAACAAGAGCAGACTATTTCTGGGCACAGGCACACACAGAAGCTTTTCTTTTCTTTTTTTTTTATTGTAGAAAAGCATAATATATAACATAAAATTTCAACACATATTTAAGTGTATAGTTCTGTGACATTACATATAGTCACATTGTTCTGCAACCATTGCCACCATCAATCTCCAGAACTTTTCCATCTTCCCAAACTGAAACTCCAAATAGTGACTCTCTATTCTTCCCTTCTCCCAGTCCTGGCAACTGCCATTCTTTCTGCCTCTATGAATTGGACTAATCTACATCCCTCATGTAAGTGGAATCATACAATATTTGTCCTTTTGTAACAGGCTTCTTTCACTTAGCATGTTGCATTCAAGGTTTATCCATGTTGAAGATATAATAGCATTCTATTCCTTTTTTATTGCCAAATAAAATTCTAGAGTACACGTGTACCACATTTTGTTTATCATTCACCAGCTGATGGATACTCCTTTCGCCTCTTGCAAATAAAGCCGCAATGAATATAAGTGTACAAGTGTCTATTCAAGTTCTGCTTTCACTTCTTCAGGGTGTACATTCAGAAGTACAAATGTTGGATCATATGGTAATTCTATCTTTAATTTTTTAAGGAATCACCATATTATTTCACAGTGGCTGCACCCTTCTATATTATTAGTAGTAATGTACAAGGGTTCCAATTTCTCCATGTCCTTGCCAACACTTGGTATTTTCTGCTTTTTTATTTACAAAAAAACCAATAACCATCCTAAATGTGAAATGGTCATTATTAATTTTAGTTTTCATCTACAATTTTGGGTGAGGTTCAGGACATTGAAATTGATAATACCAGCAGCCCTACAAGTAGCTCCAGTATTATCATCCACTGTCAATAGTGCACTAAAATAAAGAAGGCTGTCACATTTAATTACAACCAAAAGCTATAGATGTCACCAACTCTCCAAATAGAAACTAAAATTATTTTGAAATGAGCAATATAGCTTCCTCAGATCAGTTATTATATCAGTTGTAATAATAAATAGTAACAGAGTAAATTTACTTAATCAAAGGCAAAGATTGTTCTATTAAGTCAAAATAGTAACATCCAGCTACATGCTTCTTATAATAAAAGACATTTTTAAAGCAAATATTAACTCATTTGTTTTGAGAAACGATGATCTTCTTGATGTTTGAAGATTTGTCTAATGGCTTCATGCACAATGAATTCCTACAAGTGTGATGTGTATGCTTTAATAGAATTGTCTCGATGTTGAATTGACATTTTATATAAGTCTATCAGAACAATTTCATTAGTTATGTGATTTTCATCAACTAAATTCTTACAAATTTTGTCTGCTAGATCAGTTATTAGGAGAAATACTTCTTCTGATTATGGTAAATTTGCCAATTTCTCCTTTTGAGTTTGAGAATTTTTGTTTCTATTGAAGTTGCATTACCAGTTTCCTGGTACTTAAACATTTAAACAATATGATGTAAAACCTTTTTACATCTGGAAGTGTTTTTACTTTAAAGTTTATTTTTGCTTTGTATTTGTCTGATTTTTTTTCAATGTTGGTTTCTTTTTTTAAAAAATAAAAAATAATTTGTCTTTTATTTATTTATTTTGATTATACCATGTTAAGCCTGATTCCATTCTTCACTCCCCCACGAGTTTGTAAAGAATGTTCATACAAGGCTGGGGTTGTGGTTCAATGGCAGAGCACTTGCCTAGCATGTGTGAAGTACTGGGTTCGGTCCTCAGCACCACATAAAAATAAATAAATAAAATAAAGGCATTGTGTCTATCTACAACTAAAAATAAAAAATAAAAAAGAATGTACATACACTTCAGCATCCATATTGAATTTAAAGTCAAAAGTTAAATTTGTATACAAATGGTATATTTGTATTTTTTTTTCTGTTGTGAGCTCAAGATCCTAGGAATTTTATCTGAGATATTCTGTGAGGCCTGAGTTTAAAGTATTCCTTTAGAGATTTGCTTTTGTTTCTACCAGATGCCTTTGGGCAATACTGCCCATAACCACTTTAACTAGATGTACACAGCATGCTGGCAGGATGGATTCTGGCAACAAATCTGCCTAAGGGTAGGTTTGTGGTTTAGCATCTTAACTGAGACACCCCCCCACCC